AAACTGAACGATTGATGTTCTCTACTTAAAAAACACTTTAGATTTTAAAATAGGAAAACGTTCTATTTTTAGATATTTTGTGTAACATGGATGCATAAATACCTAATTTTATTTCAATGGTAAATTCATGTTTAAAGTAACAGATTATAAATATAAATGTCTCCGGACCTTTACTGGTTGATGATTTTCTTTATTCGGACTGATTTTTAATTGGTTACCCCGGGAATAGAGGCTAACTAGAGGTTACACCAAGGGGAAGGGGGAGGTGGCGGAAAGACGCTGGTGACTGTAAAAGAGGTAATGGGGGGCATTGAAAAGTCCTTCTAGTTCTAAATTGAAACTGGCTTTTTAAAAGGCACCTAAACAGTCCTTCTATCATCCCTTCACGGCTCAGTACAGAGGACCCATTATTCAAGGGAGGACAGACAGTGGCATTACTCAATAGCATTTATTAAAATAGCGGAACTCTAGTAGCAGCGACAGGAACCTCTAGAATAGAGAAACACAGGTTAGTGACCCACGATAATCTGATGGAGGATGAATATGAATACGTGAGTCACTAACCTGGTTCAACAGTTCAGTCTGTGCCCAGAGAACACGGTAGGATCCAATATGCTGCAGCCCGGGGAAAACAAGCAGGGTTCTGAGGTCAGGTCAGGCTAACAGATCAGACGGTAACAGGCAGGGTCAGTGGTGGAGGCAGACCAGGAAATCAAAAACACTACGGTAGTTCTGGCCACTCTTCCCACTGCCTCAAGAGAATCTGGTCCTGATGACTGGTAGCAGGCAGCCAAAAAAAGTTCAGATTTCAGCTTCAGATTTCACTGCAAGCAGCTTCACTGCTCTTGTTCATCTGGTTTGTGAAGGTTTACTATGTAAATCCGCCTGTCTTGCTGCTGACATGGTGTTCGGCGTGAATGCACCAGAAGGACCCAACATTACATAAACAAAAAGGGACCGTTTCTCCTTGTCTATACATTAGCCTTACCTCCTGAGCTGGTGAGTGTTGGTTCTGTTCTCACCAGGGGAGGGCGCTGGCACAGCTTCTAATACATTTCCTCTGGAGTTATTCCATCAGTCAGGACTGGAGCAGCCATTGGTTTGCAGGTCCTGTTTTCCTTATCACTGTCACTGCTCTCCACCACAGCCACTAGAACAACATCTAGACATCTAGACTGTTTCTCAGGGATTATTTTATAGCATTACGTGTTCTTTCCAAACTCTCTGTCTTTGTTTGGGTAGAGATGTGTGGAAACCTTCACAGCCGTTCTGCAGGGTTGATTAGTGAGAGACTAATGTCAGAACAGGGCTGATTACCATGCATTCAGGGCTGTTGTCTTGTTCTCTATTTACTTTGCAAAGTAAAATAAAATCCTGTGAGTGAAACCCATTGATCTCTTTTTATTTTACTGGACTAAGTAAACAGGAATGCAAAAAACAGGAGACCAAAAGAAACATCGGATGGTAAATGGTTGATCACATTGAGCATTGCATTTGTGGTAAGAATATCTTCCTTCTGTTTGTCACCTGGTTAGCGCTGACAGTAACACCTCAAACCTGCAGCCTTTTACCCTATTTCCACTACCATTGCTGAGATCGGTCCGACCACGATAACCAAGATAACTGATGAGTGAAAATGGAAAGCAACTGAACTGGACCGTGCCAGACGCAACCGTACCGCGCTAAATCTGGTACTAGCTCAACAGTACGGCGCGGTTCATCTGTGCCTCGGTTCTCTGATAACAAATAAACTATTTCCACTACCCACGGAAAACGATCCGTGCCGAGCTCGGTTCCTAGCCACTGTTGACACACCATGCTAGCACAGCTCCTCGCCTCCTAGTGGCGATCCACGGTACTACTGCTCTCTAGAGGTTAACAAGCAAACCAACATGGCGGCGCACGTAACGTTCAGAAAGTTTGCAGAGAGTCAGGCGAAGAAAGCAGCCTTCGGTGAATTTCCTTGACAGTCGGCTTTTGGGAAGTGGATACCACAAACGATAGCCTAATCAGAGCTTATAGACGCAGGAAACAACGACAGACGTTAAGGTTCATCACAATGCTAAGCAGAATCATCATCGTGGCGCGGTAGGGAAGCTAGGATTTTATGAACGTCTGAAATTTCATTCTTTGTTTTCTGAGAACAGAGCCCGAACTGAACGCCGCCGAGCCCTACTGATGAACCAAGTTAGTGCGGTTTGGTTGTAACTGGCGCGGTCCGCTTCAGTTCTATGTTCCATTTACACTGATCAGTTACCTCGGTTACCGTGATTGAACCGATCTCTGCACGGTTTCTAAAGGGAAGGGTAAATGGGGCTATAGAGAGCATCAGCAGACCGCCTCGTCTTCTGTTTGCAGTGAGCTGACTCATTTCGCAGGTTTTCCAGGAGTCTTTGCTGTTCACAGATCTCTTCACCTGTTCACAACATGAACTTCTCAGCTTATCAACAATAAATGGCATCAAAAGAGCGCGGTGCGACCTGGGAGGATGCCGAGGCAGAGGAGGATGTCCGTCCGTCTCCTAGCATTCCACAAACAAGGAAATATCTCTTATATAAACAAACATAAGTTCCTCAGTGTCATGGGTGCCGCCATTTTTTTCCCAAATCTCTGTATTGTTCAGAGTCTCTTTTAGCAACAAGTCTTTTGTCAAACTGCTTGGGTTGTTTGTACTAATGAGCAGAAATGGCATCCATGTTGGTCACACTGTTCCTCTGTGCTTTAAAAGGTCTTCACTCTAATTGTTTTTGCAATATTGATTGATTTTTCCAATGTGACACGTCTCCATCTGTGATGCTGATCAGACTGTGGTCCCTTATCCGATTGTCTTTAGTTGGTTTACAGGGTTTACAGGTTTCTGGCATCCTCTGATGAATGCCAAAATATGTGGCATGACAGACGGAGGCCTAAATGCCTTTTTGGCCACTGAATGGTTGATCTTTACTCATTTGGAAACGCTCCGCTCTGCAGAGGTAGAGAGCCAGCCATCCTCAGAGCGACCCAGAGATCTGGGTAGAGCTCAGATCCTTCGATCCGTGAGGATATCTGAGCTCTAAGAGTTCTGGAATGTTCTTCATCTCTGAAGCCACAGCTTCTCTATCCGCCTTTCCTCTAAAGAAAAGTTTGTCTCTGAGAAGTTTACCCTGGACCATCATGTCTGCTTGACCAATAACACCTGTTTTAGGTATAAGTCATGATTTCTACATCATTAAAAGTATATTGATGTGAAAATTGTACAACTATACCATCAAAGTCAGTGTTTTATCATTATATTTATATAGAAATCATTATACGTGAAAACAAACAACTGATGGCCCCTGAGGGCCCACTAGTTTCCTTGGACCCCTAAGCAGTGGATTATTTTGCTTATGCCTTGGGCCGGCCCTGACCACCATTAAAGTATGGAGAGCCATTTCAGCCAAAATTAAATAAATAAATTAATGGGTGAAATAAATAAAAAATGAGTAAAATACATCAAAAAATGAAGAAAATTAGTGAAATAAATAAAAAATGTGTTAAATAAATAATTTAGCTTTTTCATTAAACCAATTTTTAATTTATTTATTTTTCATATTATCTATTTCCCAATTTCTCTTTTTCATTTATCTATTTGTCATTTATCCCTTTATCCATTTACCCATTTTTCATTAATCTATTTTTCATTTAACCACTTTTCAATTTCCCTTTTTCATTAAGCCAATTTTTTTATTTATTTATTTTTCAGATTATCTATTTCTCAATTTCTGTTTGTTCTATTTTTCATTTATCTATTTTTCATTTTTCATTTATCCCTTTATTTATTTACCCATTTTTCATTAATCTATTTTTCATTTAACCACTTTTCAATTTCCCTTTTTCATTAAGCCAATTTTTTTATTTATTTATTTTTCAGATTATCTATTTCTCAATTTCTGTTTTATCTATTTTTCATTTATCTATTTTTCATTTTTCATTTGTCCCTTTATTTATTTACCCATTTTTCATTAATCTATTTTTCATTTAACCACTTTTCAATTTCCCTTTTTCATTAAGCCAATTTTTTTATTTATTTATTTTTCAGATTATCTATTTCTCAATTTCTGTTTGTTCTATTTTTCATTTATCTATTTTTCATTTTTCATTTATCCCTTT